AAAAGAGGAAGACCTATATTATCCTAACCTCATTTAAATAAACCCCAAAATTAAAAAAACTATCAGAATTACTTAAAAATCCCCTAACTTATATCAAAATTTTCTTAAAATATATTATTTTCAATTTTTTATATTTTTTTAATAATCCTACTTGGAGCAATTTGCTTTATCTTAACCCCACCTAATTTTGCCAGCCAAAACCCACCAATTACTCTAGTTATTGTATTCGTTAAGGAACCTCCCTATCTTAGTGGATGAGCACAAAAGTTCCATCAAAGTCAACATCTTGAAAATGACCCCATTTGGCCCCGCCATTTACCAAATTCCTTTTCCTTTGCACTCAATTAACAATCAAATTTAATCATTAGTTCTATACTAAGATTATAAAAGGAGAAATAGAAAGAGTTCACAAGTCAAATCTCCACCTCCTTTTCTTTTGACATTCACTCCATATTTATTAATCATTTTTCTTAAAAAATTATCAAAAATGCTTTTGAGGCAAAATTAGTCAATAAGGACTTTCACTTTTAGGCTTTTCTTCCATAAGGATAAAAGTTTTATCCTTCCTAAATAAAAAGTGGAACTTTATAAAAGGTTAAATTTAACGTTTTTACTGATGTGATAGCTAGCCTTCAGTAGTGGAACCACTCATTGTTGATGTGGTATACTCAAATTGCTTCATTGGTCAGTGTAGCAAGTACCTTCTCTTCCTTTGTTCTCTCTCCCTTCCTTAACATCTTTGTTCCCCGAGGTGGCTACCTACACCCTTACATCCTCTATGTCAACAACAAGCTCTATTAGGAGTTGGCGCATAAGCCACTAAACCATGACATTAACACTTGACAAGGTTAGTGAGATGGGTCTCACGATGTCATGTCAAGGAGCGTAGCACACAGAGGCAAATTAGATTTCGTCCCTTTCCTATCTTGTGGTTTGGGGAGTAGCATAGAATTTGAGGTTTATGTCAAAGGCTTAAGATGAAGGAAACCCTAATATCTAAAAGAGTTGGAATTCTTGGTTTTTTTTTTTTTTTCTTTTTGGATAGCAAGAATAAAAACAATGATGAGTTGAAAAAGTGTAAAAACTCTAAAAATAGATATTCAAATTTAAAGTAAATTTTTACATAAAAAAAAATGTCTTTGGTTAAGTTGAAATATGAAGTTTTAATAACACAAAAAATATATAGATGAAGAACAAGAAGGAAAAGAATTCTTAGGTGGGTAAATAGATTGACTTGCGGATGGGAGAACTTGCATTTTCATTGATGAAAAGATGTAGAAAAGAGAAAAAGAGAAAGGAGAGACACATCGAGAAGAGAGGAATAGAAGGGTCGAGAGGGATGGGGTAATTCTTTCTTAAAAAAAAAAAAAAAATCGATTTTGTTCCACGTCACAATTTTACGATTCCCACAAACAAAACTTAATGGGCCAGATGAGCTTTTTTGTTCAGTATCTCCAGTAAAAAAATCTTAGACCTTCTATCCTCAATTAAAGACAAATAAAAGTGTTTATCCTTATATGGAAAAATTTTCAAAATGTATATCGTTCTTATTTTGTTTTGCCTTCATTTAAATAAAGCAATTTACACATTAGTGGGATTGTGCTACCTAAATTTGAAGTTAGGACATGAAGGCAATCCAGATTTAAATCTCCAAGCATAAATCATAAAAAAGAATTTTCTTAATTTATTAATATAATTTTTTTTCCCCAAGAATCACTAAAATCATGCATACCATATTCCCACAACTCTCTTCTATATAAACCAAGTTTTTCGTTTATCAATATTATATTATATTATGTAGTGTTTGTTAAAATTAGTATAAGTACATAAAAAACTAATTAAAAACAATAAACTTATATTTTCAAATAAAATATTATGTAAAAAAGATTTGTCAGAAGTATGATTAAAGCCTTAGTTTATGTATCATTAGATATGAATTTATTTTTTATTTTTTTTCTGTTAAAAAAAAGATATGAATTTATTTTAAAAAAATAGAAAAAGGAAAAGAAAAATCTAAAGGGAGGGTATCATTGTCATTTCACTGTACAGTTCAGTTTCCACTTTCGTTCATGTTAATACAGCCGTAAGATAAGGATTTAAGACATTAAATGTCATAATCAAAAGCTTTGTCCGAAAATCTCCACCTAAAACCCGCGTTTTCTGCCCTCTCTAGATTTCTCCTCCCAATCGAACCCCACAATCTCCCACTCCTATTCTGCATTCTCTTTCCCCAAAATCTCTCTTTTTTTAGGTTTTCAGAATCTGAATTTTTCACCCAAAGCTAGAAACGATGTTTCTGGGCTTGCGGGAATGAGGAGCGGCACAATGTGCACTGTATTGGCTTGATCTGGTTCCTTCTTCAACTGTGAGTTTTGGGTTTCTTGTGTTTCGGCGAATTCACATTTTCCTTCCTGTTTTTGGTTTTTTTGAGGTCTATTTTTTTGTTTAATTTACGTTTAGTCTTCGATCTTGCACCGAATTCTGTGTCTGCAAGGGAATGATTGAAAGCTGGTTGCTTTTTAGATTTGTTTGCACTTTTAATGGCTTGATTGATGAAAAAGGTGATGAAAGATGGGAATTTGTGGAAATCGGTTTTCTGGGGTTTACCTTGGGAAACGAATTGTGTTCATTGTTTTTATTTGATCCTATAATTAGATTAGTTTTTATTCTCACTGCTGCCTGCAATTCTTGTGTTGTTTTTAGATCGGTTGGTGGGGATTTGTGTTTTCTGTGGTGGATTGAGTTGATGAAATGTGTGTAGATGCTTTGGTTGGTCGGTTTTGTTAAATTGTGTTTTTGATATGTTATCTAATTAAATGGTGAAATTGTGTGCAGGAACTTAGGATCTAATATATATGACATGAATTTTTTGAAATATAAGGCATCAATGAATGAACATGAGACCTTATCTGTTGTTTTTTGTTTTTCAATTTTGTGATGGATTTTAATTTATGGGGATCTTTTTTTTTCATTTTTGCAATTAGTTTATCATGCCAAAGTGTTTTCTGGAGAACTTGTGAACGGGATATGTGCCTTTTTTTTTTTGTATCCTTATAGTTTGGCTTGGGATTCTTAGGGTTTTGGCGTTGGAGTTTTGGAAATGTTGAAACCTAGACTAGTATGAGCCAGGCTGACGTATCAAAGATGAAGCCACCACTTGTTCCACTTGGGACCTTGATTGGTCGTGAGCTGAGGAGTGAGAAGGCTGAGAAACCTTTTGTGAAGTATGGACAGGCTGCTTTGGCAAAAAAAGGGGAGGATTGTTTTCTGATTAAACTTGATTGTCAGAGGGTTCCTGGAAATCCAGCAACTTCTTTTTCTGTGTTTGCGGTACCTCTCTCTCTTACCCTCTCTCTCTCTCTCTCTCTCTCTCACAAGCACACAATTGTCTTATGCACTTCTGTAAGAAAGTAATTGGTTAACCAGCTTACACAAGATGTAAATCAATAGCCTTATTTGGTTCAAAGGAACTTCAGAGAAGAACAGTCTAAATTGCTACTTGAGAAAAATTTAACTCAATTTAGTTCTTATCTAAATGTTGCTTTATTTAGTCCCATACAAAATGACAGCCTAACTCTTATAATTTAGTTTACCTTCTCTTCCTGCATTGTTGTACAGATTCTTAGTATATATTTTTTTTCCTGCCAGATTTTTGATGGGCATAATGGTATATCAGCTGCCATTTTTGCAAAGGAGAACTTATTGGACAATGTCTTGAGTGCAATTCCTCAGGGTGTTAGTAGGGAAGAGTGGCTTCAAGCCCTTCCCCGGGCTCTAGTAGCAGGCTTTGTGAAAACTGACATAGAGTTTCAGCAAAGAGGTACACAATCATTTCAATTTTCTTTTCATTAGAATCTTTGATGTGTTTCTTTTGTATTCTTATTTTGTGGTTGGTTATTAATGACAGGTGAAACTTCTGGAACAACAGTGACATTTGTTGTTATTGATGGTTGGACTGTGACTGTTGCATCTGTTGGTGATTCACGATGCATATTGGATACCCAAGGGGGTGTTGTTTCTCTCCTTACTGTAGATCACAGGCTAGAGGAAAATGTGGAAGAGAGGGAGCGTGTGACTGCAAGTGGGGGTGAAGTAGGAAGACTTAATGTTTTTGGGGGCAATGAGGTATGGTATTCTTACTAGAGAGTAGTGTTATTTTCGTTGTTCATTTTTTTCCTTCTTTTGAAGAGGGGTACTAAAAGGAGGGTGGGCACAGTTTTTTGGGAAGTTTATGGATGTTCTCTTATGCTTATCTCTATGGATCTAATGTGCTGTATGTGATTGTAGGTTGGTCCACTCCGTTGCTGGCCTGGTGGATTATGCTTGTCTAGGTCAATTGGGGATACTGATGTTGGAGAATTTATTGTCCCTATACCACATGTCAAGCAAGTGAAGGTGAGGTTTTGATGCCTTATTAGTAGTGGGTTTATTAATCTCTTGGTACTGTATTCTGAAATTTTCAAATTCCTTTTTATTCCTTAGCTGTCAAATGCTGGGGGAAGACTCATTATTGCTTCAGATGGTATCTGGGATGCTCTGTCTTCGGACATGGCAGCTAAGTCATGTCGAGGTTTACCTGCTGATCTCGCAGCAAAGCTTGTTGTTAAGGTGATGTCTAGCCTATGGTTCTCCTTCCCTGTTCTTTCTAGTTCTACTTGTTTTTTCTTCTTATAATATTCATATTTTTTTAACACTTTAGGAGGCTTTGAGGACAAGGGGCCTGAAGGATGATACAACTTGCTTGGTTGTTGATATAATCCCATCCAACCATCCTATCCTACCACAAACACCAAGGAAGAAACAAAATGTCCTTAGTTCATTTCTCTTTGGGAAGAGATCTCAAAATGCTACAAACAAGACAACAAATAAACTTTCTGCAGTTGGAGTTGTTGAGGAGTTGTTTGAAGAGGGTTCTGCCATGCTTGCTGAAAGGTAATATTACATTGTTTGCTAGGGACTCCAGGGGGTTCTAAATCTGAAATGCACCTTGGTTCTAATACTGCCACTTGACTGTGACAATGCAGGTTAGGCAAGGATTTTCCCATTGATGCAAACTCTGGACTCTTCAAATGTGCAGTCTGCCAAGTGGATCAGCCTCCAGCAGATGGTTTATCAGTAAACTCCGGGCCTTTTTTCTCACCTGCATCAAAGCCCTGGGAAGGACCCTTTCTCTGCGCTACGTGCAGGAGAAAGAAAGATGCCATGGAAGGGAAAAGGCCAACCAGAACCACAGTGACCTCATGACAACTTACCCAGTAACACAGTATATAGATGTATTTTTTTGTCTAGCTGTGTGAACATGCTCGGTTTTTTGTTTGTTGGTTGTGATTTGCAATAGTTGCGTGTAAGAAATGAGGTAGAGGTAGGGTAGGTGTGTTGCCATCATTTGTTTGTAAGATTCCAGTTTGTGCTCGGCTGTTCTATGACTGACCACAGACAAAGATGCTCTCTAATCTATATTTATTATAGTTTGATTACTAACAGCTTAAATTTGTAAGTAAACGTGAAGGTTGCATAATGATATATGTATTTCAGTAGTCTTTTCTGTATTCTGTCAAAACTCAAGCTTCAATGTTATTTTTCTAAACCTAATTTTTGGCTGCAGTCTTTGCCAAACACCTATGGTGCTTGATTGTTATAGTGTTGATACCATATCAAGTCTATTATTACAGACTTTTAAAGCTCTAGAACATAATACTCCAAGCTTGTCTTCTCTTTAGGCCGTCACTCCAACCTTGTCTTGAAAGAGCAGAAACTTCTTTCTAGAGAAAGGTTTGGTGAAGACATTTGCAAGTTTGTGTTTTTAGTCATGAATATAACTGACTTTTTGTCACAGAAAATTCTATTTGGAAGTGTTTGCTTTGGCTGCAACACTTCAAATGAAGAATACATAGCTTTTGGTTCCTTGAAACAATGGTACAGCATATAGAATGTCAGGCCTTGTGTATGAGAGATAAATGAGTGATCTCACAATCTCTCCAGAGTTTGAAATATTCTGAAGAGAATTTGTGTTTTATAGTAAAATAGTACTAAAATAGGAAGTTTTGGAGAAAATAATAAATTATCACTTTTTACAGAACTTATTATTTAAATATTATGTTACCAAAAAACACATTTCCCTCAAATATTTTAAACTCGAGAGTAAAAATTTTAAATTTTTATTAAAAAAAGCTCAGCCAGCTTCCTTATCTCTCTCTCCTACATTGTCAATTTTAGAAAACTTCTCATTTATACGTTCCTTTTAGAAAACTTCTCATTTATACGTTCCTTTTAGAAAACTTCTAATATTTTTTTGTTTTTGAACATAGGGGAATTACGGAAGAAATGAGGAATTTTCAAATGGTTAGTAGAAATTGAGTTTTTGATCAATTTAACCCAAATATTAGAGTTTAAAAACAAACCATTATATTCAAAGATCCATTCTTTTCTACATTGTGATGTGAATTTTTTCAATGAAGCATATTTTTCTACAGAGGGAAAAGTGGGTGCCAGTTTGTGCCTCTACTTGCATGCCAAGGTAAGATCTGTCATCTCAAAAGTCAAACGTTGAAAGTGTTGGGCTTTTGTGTTTGCTGCGTTTGTTTGCTTGTATGAGGACGGTTTTTTTTTTTTTTTTTTTTTTT